GATGTAGCTAGCCTGTACCGTACTGTCGTGCTTTGGCTCAAGTAAAATGTGCGTACTCTTTTTGGCTGTTGCACCTGTAAACATAGAACCCCCGTGCAGGGACTGAAGGCCCCTGAAGCAAGGAATGTAGCCTTCGAAGCAGACGTGAACTTAGGCCGGACCGATCGCCTCCGGCTGTTTGGTGGGGGCCCACAAGATGGGCACCGCCATGGGCATGGTTCTGGTGTTCTTGGCTTTGAAGGCTTCTGTGCTCTTGTTGAGGAGCTCAAGTTTTACCATACTGGAGATCTATGACAGACAAGACAAGAGGGGATCTTTCCCTGTTAGGGTAGCTTCAGCTAAGCTTCTTTAGGTTTTCCCGGAGTGCTGGCGGCGACCCCGACTTGGTCTCCTCGTGGGCGCCTTCCTGCAGATCGCCGCCGCCGGCAGCTTCGCTGCCTTGGCCTTCTTTGAGGCCTCGAACGGCTGGGTTTTGTGGGTCCTGGTGGCCTCCAGGCTGCTCCTTGGCCTGGGTGGGGGCCTTCAGGTGAGCCTTGCCTGGAACCTGGCCGCCCGCTTGGTCGGCGAGAGCCGGGAGCTCCACAACTTGCGCCTGTTCGTGGCCGGCTGCTTGGGCTTGGGAGCCGGACCGCTCATGAGCTCCCTGGCCACGGCCTTGGCGAAGTTGGTGCCCTGTCACCTGGACGGCTTTGAGGGCATGCTGGCCTTCGTGGCCTTGCTGCCCTGGATGCAGCTGAGCGTGCTCCTACGCCCGCTCCCCTCCCTGGAGGAGCTTGCAGCCTGCGGGGCCCAGAAGCAGACGTCCCGCGCCCAGGCGGTGGTGGTGTGCCTTTGCCTGGCCATGCTCGTTCTGCGGAACTTGGCCCTGGCCTCCCTGGAGGTGGGAACGGCAGAGCTTTTCCAGAAGAAGTACCACTTTCCACCGGTGGTGGTCGGCCTTCTCTGCGCCCTCATCGTCTTCACCGCGCTGCCCGTGCAGCTTTTCTACGAGAGAATGCAGGGACAAATATCCCTGCATTCCATGCTTTGGGCAAGTCTCGCTTCTGGCTGTTTCCTGATGTTTGAAAACTTTTCCGCCCTCTTCGCTGCTTCGATGTTCTTCTTTCCGATGATGGCGCTGAGCAGCGGTATCGTCATGGCGCGCCGTCGGCCGCAATGAGTTCTGGTTTCGAGCAAGAGTCCGCGAGTGGATAGCCGAATTTGTGGGGTTTGTTGGACTAGCAGCTTGCAAGAAGCCGCGTTTTCAACTCCTGTGCCACGTGGGTTCTGCCCAGTGCCCGAGGTGTTTCGAAGGCGGCTTTGGTTTGGTTGGTTTGCATGTTTAAACTTTGTTCGAGTCCTTCACTTCAGTGCGGTAGGTCCTGGGTGAAGGAGCACGTGTGGAAATCTCTGGAGAAGTTCAACCTGGGTGAATCAACTTTAACTTTAAACGACTTTGCGAGATGTTGCCAAGGAAGATGCAAGAATACGTGATGCCGGATGGTTCCGTGCTCGACAGGACTCGTTCAGTGCACGGCAATACTGAGGGTCCCCCTTTTCCGGCTTGTCTTATGTCTGCTGACGCTTTTATGAGCATTATGTGGTCTGGGCACCTCACAATCTTAGCAGCACAGAGCTCTTGAATGCTCTTGTGATACCCAAGCATCGGCTTCGCGCCAAGATTCTCAGGGGACTTAGGGTCAGGGTTCAGGGCTGGTGACCAAGCTGAGCTCAAGTCGCAGGAACACCACGACACTCCTGGGCCTTGTGATGGCAGATTTCCTGGGCCGTGGCTTGGGACCCATCTCGGCACGCTACGGCATCTACCTGGGTGGGCAAAGGGGTTTCGCATGGACCCAAGTGGCGTACGCGGCATTGAGCCTGGTGCTTTTCATAGGGAGTGAGGTGGCCAGCCAAAGGGCAAGGAAGGGCACCTCGGAGAGCAGTGATCAGAGCAAGAGTGAGGGGAGTTGCAAGGGAGACTGAGCTTTTCATTCTCTCTCTCCCATGCAGAAATGTGCGGGGAGGATGCCGAACTGGTGTGCCTTTTCAGTGCAGTGGCATTGCAAAAACAAGCAGACTCTGCGTCTTTACTGGTCGTTTGCTGTTCTACCCAGGCGCCAAACTGCAGACGAATCGAAATCACCGCAAGGGGCACGGAAGTAACCTCACGAACGGAGGTGCAGATTGAAGCAGATGTTGGTCGAATTGGGGGAGTTTGGTGAGGGCTGAAGTATCTCAATGATTCGGGGACGTTTCGAGGTGACTTAGGTAAGCCCTGACCCGAAGCGGCTCAGGGTTTGGGCTCTTTGGGGTCTCGACAGCGAGAAGCCCTGGGTCTGCCTTTGTGGCATCCAGTGAGGTTTCGGGGTTTGGGGTTTAGGGTTTACGGTTTAGGCCCTAGACCCTAAACCCTAAACCCTAAACCCTAAACCCCAAACCTGAACCCTAAACCTAAACCCGTAGGGATTCAGATTTGAGTGCTTGGGCAAGCCTAGACCCTGGCACACGAAGGTTCCAGCACGGGCGGTTTCAGATCAAAGGCCTCGGGGCTTGCGGATTTTAGTCACAATCATAGTCGCCATAGCAACACTAACAATAACCAGAATAACAACTCGAAGAAGAATGATGATAATAAACAGAATCATCATGACGAGGGGGTTTCGACACTAATCTAGACATTGGGCAGGAACTTGCGCTTATGTTGCGAATGTGTAAAGCTTTAGGCCCGACTGCCAACTGCAGTAGTAGCTAGGACAAGATAGAACTACATCGAGAGCAAGACCTGAGATTCTTCTCAACAGCCACTGAACAGGGGAGTTCTCTAAATTAGGGTCCTTTTTAAGGTCCTTCTTACAAGGGTGCGGTACTGTGATGGGACCTAAGAAGGGAACCCTGATTTAAGGAACTACCCAAATTATATGATAAGGATGATAATGGCGTTGGGATGATGGTGACGATGGTGATGATGCTGCTGTTGTTGGTGATGGTGATGACTGTGACGGCGACCATGACGACATTGTTGATGCCGATGCTGATGGCTGTGGGTTGTAGTGCTTGTAGTGCCGGTAATCCTAGTCACGATAGCAATGGGACAGTTGCTTAGGTCCGTGTTGTGTAGGGAGAAGTACATACAAACCTCGTACCCAATAGATCAACAGCCTGGTTCTTCTCACTGGACAGTGTAGTCTAGATTACCTCTTGAGAGTAGCTTGCACTGGCTCTGCCTGACAGGCGACGCTCTCCGCTGCACTTGGCAACTCTCCTGTGGAGACTTCAGCATCTCAGAGGCCTCCCCCCAAAGCTGGATGCTTTGCTTTGTCCTAAACCTGCGACCAGAATTTGTGAAGTCGGGCCTTGGTTGCTACGGTCATATCGGCGAGTCGGTGAAGGGAGCTTCACAAGACAAGCACAGCAGTTCCACTAGGTGAAGAACAGTTCAGCTGCTGCTCCACGCCAAGGTGTCAACATAGACATGCGGAGGGCAGTCGTGTCCCAAAGCCCATTGCAAATGGCATCAGATCTCTCCATTGTACTGGTCGTATCTGGTTGTGCCTAGGCCTAAGCATTCGCCCTTTGAAGCTAATCGTTCGGTCGTTATGAAACACTCTTGACTGTCGCCCTTAGCAGCTTTTCCCGGGTCCCAAGATGCCCCGGGGTGTTTAAGTTTCAGCGTAAAGGGGGTTTTAGGGTTTAGGGGTTTAGGGGTTTAGGTTTTAGGGTTTAGGGTAAGGACGATTGAACGGACTGTTGGGTTGCCGGAACAGGAATTCAATCGTGGCTTGCAAGGCGTAGAACGAACACGCATCCCTTTTCTTTTAACTTTTTCGAGCCCACACCTGGTGAATGCTCTTGGAACTGTTTGGGATGATTGACTTATTGGATCTATTCCCAGGAGATCCGCATCTCACGGAGCTCCACTATGCGGCGGCGTCCCGCCGCCCAGTGTCTTGTGGCTACTTGCTAAAGGTCACTTGAAGCCTCTACTGAGGTCGGTAGTCAACCTGCTCTTTTCCAGTTCTTGTGTGACCCATCCATCCATCTGAAAACTGCAAAACGCATCATGCTGTGTTCCAAGTCTTGCATCCGCTGGCAGCGTTTTGCTCAGACGTTGGCTCCTTCACAAGTGCCTCGCCATGGATTCCTGGAAGAGCATGCCGTGCATCCATTCGTGGATGGCACCGGGCCTGTCTTGCGAACGCGGGCCCAATGTGCAGCAGCAACGGGCCGTTGATCGCATCAAGGAACAGCATGGTGGGGTGTTGCCCAGCGATTTGTACAATCAGACTCTTGAACGCAGGCTATTTTCGAGAGGGGGATGGACGAGAAGACTTCAGGTACAACGGAGCAGATAAGTTGGAGTGTTATCTCGACAAGGGATCTGCTTTTTACAACAGTCACGGTGATCTGGTGTCACATCTGCCGTCGTGCCAAGGACCAACGCTGAGTTGGGGAAGATGGTGGAGGACTTGACCGGTCGCCGGCCACCACCGCGCACCTCCAAGACCACCTTGGTGAGCCGCATCGAGCGAGCCAGTCTGGGAGACATGCGCAAGTCCTCTTCGGCATAGGTCAGTGAGAAGGCTCCAAAGCGAGGTGCGAAGCTCAACAACATGTGGGTGTCAGGGGGTTCAGGCAGGTCTTAGAGAAGATCAATTCCTCGAGCGCTTTCTTGCTATTGCAAGTGTACATGAGTCAGTCTTCACAATCTGGAACTTTGGGAAGTTGGATGTCTTCGAGTTGAACCAGCTATGGCACACAGTCCCAACGTTTCTTTAGCTCCCGAAGCCCTCCTTCCAAGTTGCTGAGGTTGCCGTGCCAGCATCTCCAAGGGGCAGCTGGCGCAGATGAGATCCGTCTTGAAGTCGGAGGCTTCTTCCCTGGCTTTGCGCCATAGCCATAAGGACCTGGAGAAGATGTGGAACCGCATGGGGATGATCGCCATGTATCCCAAAATGACGGGAGCCTCGGCTTGCCAAGCAGGTTGGCTGTGATTTTCTATATTATTTTTTGTTATATAAGGTAAATATATTATAACACATCATATTATATTATATTCTATTCTATTCTATTATATTATAATATATTGCTTCAAAGACATGTTGATGCCAGAACTGGAAGTTGAGTAGAAGGAGGATGCAGATGTAACTCGCTCCTGAAGCACCATGGTTCGCTCAAGTGCACACACTGGCATGCACAGCCTTGCAGTCACGGGAACATAAATGAATAGAACACCGATGCAACCCGAGTTTTGACCATTTTGGACCCAAGGAAAGGAGACTGTGATCTCAAGAATGAAGGCCTTTGCAACTCGAAACATCGAACACCATGGCCTGTAGGCAGGGCGTGGCTACCAGGGAGGCATTGAATCTGGGGTCGTGCCCTCTGGGAGAACAGTGTCTGATTATGTAGCTGTGAGGTGCTGTGGCATACTGTGGCGAAAAAGACGCATTCGACTGCTGAGACTCATGCTCCCATGTCTGTGGCTCCGTCTTGTGAGCACCTGACCTCACTGAGGCAACGCCGAAGGCCGAGTACTCGTGGGGCAGCTTCGCCCCTAACACGATCGTCACAACGGAGGATTCCATGTCAGCAGATCCGATGTGTTGCAGTGAGCTCGTTGATTTGCAGGACCAAGACGTGGACAGCTAGCTGGCCCCACAGGTGGCCGGGCTGCCCGTGCTTCAGCTGTGTGTTGTTGTTTGTTTGTTGTTGTTGTTGGTCACGGTTGGGGTCCTAGCCCAATGCAGAGTGTTTCGCTTTCCATCGGCGGTATAGGAGCCATGGCCCTCAGCCTGGAAGGATGGCGTGGCAGTCTGAAGCAATCAAACATTCTCGGACAGAAGCAGATTAGGGCGCGAGCGGCTGCAAGCTTGAGTGAATGGTAATTGCCGCACAACTTGGACTGTGGCCTGAACCATAGCCCCACAGACAGGACTCTTGCAATGGAATCAAGTCGACCATCTTATGCTGGAGCGGTTTACATCACGACATCTCACAGCGTACAACTTTTGCTCGCAAGTTTGTGTAGTACATGTTATCAATCGCAAGGAAGGAAGCATGACGTATCTTGGCGTCCTGTTTTACATGTTACGTCCATGATTCTCAAGACCTCTGGGCTCAGTTTCTCGAACATCCACCCT